GGAGGACATCGTATCTCACGACGGTCGTTTTGTCATATGAAATGGAAAGCTGGGGAGGAACGGTCGATAAAATACGCACGGTGCATGCCCTCCAAACTAATTTCAGGAAGGCCTTTGATAGCACTCTGTGTCAGCGTCCCCTGTACAACTTGAGGGTAATGAGTCTCAGGGCAAACTTCTTAAATGTACTGGGAATTTCCCCGTCGGTATTTCGCAAGTTGTCTCTGAAGGTCAACAGCAATGAAGCCGCACAATCATGGAGTCCCACAAGTCTCGGTGCTCGGACCGATCCTTTTCATTTTCGATCGTCAGTGATTTTGCACAGGGATCGAACTGTGATTGTGCGACGTTTGCCAATTCAGGTTTTCCTATTTTGCGAAAGGATTACTGGTACGAAGCAGATATTTCCAATAACGAAATAAGTGTTCAGATCATAGGGAAAATGAGACTTTGTGTGCGTGTGTGCGTGAGCTGGACGAGCTCAACTCCACGAAGAAAGGACTTCTGACTCTTGAGACTGAGTAGTCAGCATAGCAGGCCTCCTCTCTGTGTGTGTATTGACTCAGATTACGCTAGCATGCCATAGGAATACTGCCGAGTGGCCAAGCAGGTGAGAAATTATACCGACCAGCCATTCGGCTCTGTGCCTCTCGTCAGCCCTCTAACTTCCGAAACTGTAGGTTCCTTGTTCGGCCCATGGCCCAGGTGCAGAAGCCGTTCCAGTACTTCGCTGTCCGCTCGGGCCTACCGAGCCTAACTGCAAGCGCGCATTGAGGGGGGCTGGAGTACGGTGCATTGATCTCACGCGCGCTCACACAATCATGCGTCATCCCTACGCGAATCAGGTGCTGGTACAGTCACGTGCTTATCGGGCTTAGCTGCACACAGAGAAGGGCCTGCTACGCTGACTACTATGTCGCAGAAATCAGTAGTGCCATCTGCCGCAGGGTTGAGCACGAAGAAATACTGTTTGTGGCATGGGCGGGTTCAGGAGTAGTACTAGTGAACAGGTCAGATTATGCCGAATCTTGGAAAAATTTCAGGGCTACAAGATACTGTACTAGCAGTATAGGTACTCGCTGAAAGCCCAGACACGCCTGTTTCGCCAATATCCTGACGCCGCATAGCACATCTGCGTCCCATCATTCCCCTTCTGCTTTCTGGTAGATATTCCAGTCTACAAATTATCGCTTCTTTATCGCTGAGGAAATCAAGAGAGAAAGAGAAATATTATCAGTTCCTACCTAATTCTCCAAATCCCAGAAATACAGGGATCGGACTGAGACCGTCACGCATCAGTTGACGAGAGTACTCAAAGTTCTCCACAAAGAACGGCTTTTGGCGGATACAGCACGAGAGATTGGGGCCTGTAGGTACAACGATAACCAGAATGTACGACCTTCTAAATAATCACAAACAAGGGCTATCCTTCCGACCAATCTTAGAAATGGCGAATTCGCCCTACCACAGCATTGCAAAGTGGCTGGCAGAAAAGCTGAATCCGCACCCCTAAAATTTTAACGTTTGTGGACGCGAGATGTATCACTACCCTTTACCAGTTAGTCAGCTGTAGCATCAATAAGCTGCCTATGCAGCTTTATTCAAAATACAACCTATCAAACTGGCAGATCGATCTAAATTTCAATTATCGTACACCGAGTCGACGCCGGCGAAGTCTTTCAGGTGGTCTACCGGCCACCACCACTTTAAAGGCTCACGTCAGCCGGTGCTGGCAATATCCGAGGCGGTAGACATTCGACCAGTATTTTGTTGCTAGAAAACGTTGGTGCAGGCGGTCCTTCTCCCGTGGCCGACTCCAGGTGATGATCGCACAACGCTCCAACCCCCTCAGCCAGCCACAGGGCAACAACGACCGTCTGATGAGCCTCCGCCTGCCTCTCCGGAGAGGCGAATTTGCTAGTCTTCAGCACCTACGCCCTCTCCCAATCACCAGCCGTGATGAGGCGAAAACCATGTTCCAAGAAGGCCTACAAGTACTCACGGCCACTGTGCCGAAAGTGGACAATCTTGTTGTCCTTGGCGTCTTCAATGTCAGCGCGGGACAGATTGCGTTGCCTGGAGAGAAGTGGTGGGTACTAAACAGATCAGCGGCAGCAATGGTAATGATCTCATTTTCCTGGCAACGCGCACAGAACGCGGCCTTCCCCTGACCGACACATTCCTCCGCATCACCGACAATGCCTTCACCGCACACTAACTACAGGAGAATTGTCAGGATATGCGAACCCACCTCTACACCACATTCACGGATATGACTAAGGTCAATGTGGTGGTGAATCGCGAGGTACTGTGCAAAATCATGCAGAAATTCGGCCATCCTGAGCGATTCACCGCCCCAATGACTTTAGTCAGATCCGCGGCCGCAGATCTAGACAGTTCAACCCATTCCCTTCGCCAACGACGGAGACCGAATACCGAAGGTCCAAGAACCACCTCCATGTCTTGACGGACAGTGTCGAGCCAGGTTTTGAACTGACCCCCTCTTCGACGCCTCCAATGGGGCAACGGTGCCGGATCGAGGGCAGTAACACTGAGCTCCTGAGGTGGACGACGAAGAACATGCCCGAACCACCTCAGTCGTCTTTCTTGGATGGCCTGAGTTATCCTCGCGATGTTGTCGCAGCGAGCGCGGACTATCTCATTTGAGACGAAGTCGGTTAACTTCACTCGAAGGATGATCCTCAAGCAGTGGTGGTCAAATACCTCCAGTTTTCGCTCATCCGCCACACGCAAAGCCCAGCATTCACAACCGTAGAGAAGGACAGACCGGACAGATGCACGGTACAAGCGAATCTTAGTGGCGATGGAGAGGTCACGTCGGTTCCACAGGCATTTCCGAAGGCTTGAAAAAACCCAGCGGGCAGCATCGATTCGGGAGACAATGTCGTCCTTACTCTGTCCATTAGGCAGCAGCCGCGTCCCGAGGTATTTAAAACTGTCCACTTCTTCAAGTTGACAGCCATCAATCCCCAGGGGTGCCTTCTCCTGGTCAGGAATGCAGCTTGAAAATACTTTGGTCTTCCCAGCGTTTATGGACCCTGTAGTTGGTGAGCGATAAAGGCTCCGATGCATGGCCGCCGCCGCCTACTGATCGATCACCTTACAGCGCTATTCGAGGAGGTGTGACGACAAGGACAGGTACCTCAAGACTTCAACCATGTGACCATCGCCCACGTTAATCAGCCTAAAGGGAGCCAGAGACTCTGCGATAACCACTGAGGGATCTCGTTACGCAACATCACCCGCCTGCTCCTCCATCATATCTCGAGCAGGAACCACTGGCTGGAAGTTAATGTTGTCCCGAAGACACTGCGGGATAACCAACAATGTCTTCACCCCTCACCAACTACAGGTGAAGTGCCAGGATATGCGAACCCACCTATACACCGCCTTCGCGGATCTGAAGAAAGCCTTTGAGGACGTGAGTCGCGAGGCACAGACCAAAAGCATGCAGACATGTGGGTGATTCATCGACGCCCTGCTAAGGCCACTGCAACCGCGATGGAGTGGTCCACTGTTGAGAATTAACGGCCCTAGCCTAGTAAAACATATCTTCCACAGCAATGTTGCCATGGGTGCTCGCCGAACAAGAGGACAAGGAAAGACACTTGGAAGCGACTGCAGATCAACCCCGAGACCTGGTAGGACCTCCCCCTCAGAACAGGTCAGCCTGAAGCAGAGAAGTGAAGACCGACGCAGGCATCGCCGCCACAAAAGAGAAACGGACTGCCATAAATCACTGCAGATTCGGCCATGTGACCACGCCTTTCCCCATCGACGGATGTACCCCTCGAAATTCCCAAATCTCTGGCATATTTCACATAAGTGGAAAGTGTGGTTTTCGGCCATCTTCTGTGTATGCCTTATCTGCTGCGTGTGAGGTCACAATGTCCTATTCGTCCCGTCCGAGTGAAATCCCTGTGCTCACGTCAGCGGGTGCTGGCAACAGCCGAGACGGTAGCCATTCGTACAACCCTTTGTTGTCGGAAGACGTTGGTGCACGCCATGCGTCTTCCGTAGCCAACTCGAGGTGTTGATCGCACGGCGCCCCAGCCCCCTCATTATGGGAGTGTGCGCACCGCGTATTTAACTAACGGACACTACCCAGTCCCCCCCCCGCCCCCCTTCTTAATGACTTATCAGGGTCCTTCCACGCATTCAAGTTGCAGTATTTTCGCAATGTTCCCCCCCCCCCAAACTTCTATTAGCTGTCTACGATACCCTTGTTTGGAACACACTTTAAGAACAAATATGCAATAATGGAATGTCTTTAATGGCAATATGTTCCGCAATGTCGGATAAAAAGTGAGATTCGTTTCGGGGCGGATGCCCCACGACTGTCATGAGTCGGACTCCGAGTTGAATGGTATGGACAGAGCATATCCTTAACGGTGCTTGTAAATCTCGATATTTTGCAGTTACACTGGCTCGTCTTGGCCGGGGTAATGCATTGCCGCGTTACGTACTGTTGGAAAGGCATGACAGGGTCTGGCGTTCGTAACTCAGGACGACGCCGTTAGCGTACGGTGGGTAGTAGATAAATTTAGGGAGAAGATGGGGTCTGCTACTGATAACTTACGCACAGTGTTTATAGACAAGGATGCAAAAGAACTGAAGGCTTGGAGGGAGGTTTTTCCTGGAACTCAGGTAGCCGTCCTTATTTGCACATTTCATGTGCTCCAGGCCTTCAAGAGAAAGGTCAGAAGCGTGTATAAAGACGTAAGGTCTGAGCATGCTTTTGACCTTTTTCGTAGGGCTGTGTATGCATCCACCTTTAAGTTTTTTAAATTACATTTCAATAGCTTTAGGCAATGTTTCCCCGAGCTCTGGCCGTATATTGTGGTCAACTGGTGGCGGTGCAGACGCCGGTGGGCCCATTACGCTCGGCGTAGTCTTTTGACGTACGGCGACAACACCACAAATAAGATTGAGAGTCTTAATCGAGTCTTAAAGCAGTGGTGTAGACCGTACATGTCTCTCACCGACTGTGTTAATAGTATAGTTTGCTTTTTAGATTCAAAGGCCGTAGATAACGAGCGGCTTGATGCCGATGAGTACTGCCGCCGCAGGCACTACAACGGACTAACCCCGCGTGTCAGCAAACTATGTCAAATGCTGACTGGGTATGCTGCAGAAGTCCTGCTGAAGCACGTGTCCGCAAACGGCAATGTAAAGCTTTGTAGTGAGGCTGTTGACACGTGCAGCTGTCGGTTCCATCGGAACTGGCAGCTGCCGTGTGTACACATAATCAACTACATTGAACAGAACAATATTGAGCCATGCCGAGCTCTTTTAAAGAGTAGATGGGTCTTTCGGCTAGATGTCTCTGAGATGCGCGTCACTGACGAGAATGTTGATCCGGAGGCCGTAACGTCCTTCCAGGCTGACATTCTCGTCAGCAAAGGGCGAGGGCCGTTTACTGAGGACTACAAGTACAGAGTAGCCATGCGACACGTACAGCCTATTGTGGAGAAGTTAAAGAGTTGTGGTAGTCGACGCTTCGAGGAGTTGTTGCGGGAAGTTGATGAGTTCGCCAACTGGATCATGAATGCCCCCTCTGGTGGTCTACATGGGTCGCTTGTCGACCTCCCTCCACAACCGAACGCGGATGAAATGGGGGATGACACGAGCGACGAAGTCGTTCGTTGTCAGGTGAGAGAGGAGGGCGATGTGCTAATCGCGCAGTGGGGCTCAAACCAAGACCCTTCTGTACGTGCTCCGCGTACTGAAGCAGTGGTGTAGACCATGTCTGCTTCCCGCCGACTGCGCTCATAGCGTAGTGCAATTTCTGGATTCCCATGGAAACCACCTTTTCGTACACGTCTAGATGGGAAACCAATCTGCTCGCTCGAAAAGACGGACAGGAGTCAATGTTGTTCTGCTCGACGAAGTTCAGGATGTGAACACACGGCAGATGCCAGTTACGATGGAACCGACAGCTGCACGTGTCGACCGCATTGCTGGATAGCTTGACGTCGGCATTTGCTGAAGTGGGTTAGCAGGACATCCGAGGCGTTTGGCACACCCTGGTGACATGCGGCCTTAAACCCTTGTACTGCCTGCGGCGGCAGTACTCCTCGGCATCCAGCCGCTCGTTGTCCACGTTCTTTGAATCCAAAAAGTTAACTATGCTATGAACGCAGTCGGTGAGAGACATGTACGGTCTACACCACTGCTTTAAGACACGATTAACACTCTCTATCATATTTGCGGTATTGTCGCCGTAGGTCAAAAGACCACGTCGGGCGTAATGGGCCCACCGGCGTCTGCACCGCCGCCAGTTGCCCACAATGTACGGCCATAGCTCAGGGAATAGTTGCCTGAAGCTATTAATGTGATTTGAAAGACCTAAAAGAGGGTGCAAACACAGCCTTTCGGAAAAAGTCCAAAGCATGCTCCGACCTTACGTCTTTATACACGCTTCTGACCTTTCTTTTGAAGGCCTGCAGAACATCAATTGTGCAGATTAGAATGACAACCTGATTTCCAGGAAAAACGTCATTCCACGTCTTCAGTGCTTTAGCATCCTTGTGTATAAACACTGTGCGTAAGTTGTTAGTTGCAAACCCCATCTTCTGCTTAAATTTACGGTCTGCCTAACGCACGGTAAGGGCATCATCCTTCGTTACAATCATACGGAACACGGACTGGGCGCGCCCGTGGTTATCAGCCACCACTGTGGTAAAATATACACCTCTGGCTATTTGTCCGGGATGTGACGTCCATTTTCACAACATCCGGATACCCAGTATACGTCGCCCGCAGAGCCGGCGTCGTCCTTGTCGATAAAGTCAGGACCTCAGCCACACTTCATGGAAAAAAGGGCGTCTATCACGCACCTTACTGCTGGATCACACAGAAAGACTCGGCGGTAAAATTTGTCGTGCATCCGAACTTCAGGGACCTAACTCGTTTGAAATTTAGCATAAGCTGCTTACGCAGATGCTGCCCTTGTGCGCTTAGAGGCGAAACATCCCCAAACTAAGTACACGTAGTAGTATCGATTTGGGGATGATTTATAGCCACGATTTCAATTGAAGCTGGTATAGGAGGCCTGCAAAGTAACAGATCTGTTATGATGGCTTACCCTTTCATATTCTCTCACCGCGCACAGTAAGTCATCCAAACTGTCATAGACGCCGCTGTGAACGATGTTCTTAAACAAAGAACACTGTATTCGAGTTCCTTCTTGCGCTGCAAAGCATGTTTGCAATGAAATTGCATCTCTCCTTATCGCCGAGGACGGATGCAGGGTGCGGAAGTCCGCCAGCTGGGGACTTGAACTCTCCTGCTTAGAATGCAGGGGGGGAGGGGGGAGGTACAGGCACGGGCTCGTAACCATCCTCCACACCGAACGACGAGACTACGGAGCAGCCCTCCTTATGATGCAATATTTTGAAAAATGCATCACAGCTCTCAAGTCTAGACAGACAGCGAACAATAAACGCTAATTTGAACATACCTCTGAGTTAAGGCCAGCAGATACACGTAT